AGGTCTGCTATTCTAATTAGCTCCTTATGACTAGAAACCATCATATAGTCACCAGGCCAAGAGAGTAACTCAGTCTCTGATTTTTAATTTCTTTTCTTTTGATAGGAAAAATGGGTTGAGCTTGCGTCTTACACATTGTAAAAATTAAGGAAATAAATAAAATATGTTTCATCAATGTTTAAGTTTCTCTTTGACTTTCTCACAGAGTAAAAGTAGAATTCAATATCACAGAAATAAGAGTTGCCTCAATTAACTGAATGTATAAGAAAAATACATATGTATAAGTAAAATGTATAAGAAAAATACAAAAATGAAGGAAGCTCATATACTATGTAGGTTTGAAATATATGAGAAATTAAAGCTATTTTATTTAAGAAGCAAAGTTTGGCTCAACTTTGCAGACAAGGATAAAGAAGGGAGGGAAGCCTCCCCATAATTATTTTCTATATTAAAATGTGTAAATCGTGCCACTGTACAGAGGTACCTATAATAGTGAGGATTGGAACATGCTTTAAACATGGCATAACAGACAATGTAAGAAGCTTCTTCATTCGGTTTTTCTTGGGCATGTAATCCTACTGATAATCCTGAAAATGACTTATTCCCTTCTTTAATATTGGATGAGGATTACCTCCATCTCTTCCTTCTTCCAAGAGAGGTTCAGAGTCCTGGGATGTGCTTTCTGATCCTGGTTATACTTTGTTCGCTGTCAGAAACCAAAACCTCATCCACGTACAGGTTCAATGAAAAGTCTCTTTCCTCATTGCACTTTGCATATGTGTATACATACATACATAAACTCTGTATTTTCCAAAAGAATAATTTGTTATCCATATCTCACCTACACATTTCTCCTTTAATATTTTATTAAAAACTTAAAAGTAAGTACATTAATCGAATTTGTATCCTTTAAGTTAAAAAATTATTTACACATAAACTGATTAAAAAACATTTTTTGGCTCTAAGAGGTACATGGACATGTTTCAAAATCTTCATAAAATAGAATAAAGTACTCTGTGTAAGCTTACCCAGGACATATAAATAATAGTAAAATAATTGAAGGTATAATAAAATATACTCAACCATATGCCCCAAATGTTATTTATTCTTCTTTTTTTAAACAAAAAGAGAAATTCAGAGTAATGTGTGTTAAATCAAACATTCACTTTTGAAGATTTCTAAAACATTCTGCAAGATTTAAACCATTTTGGAGACAATGGTTTGAAAAAATGGTTAAATTTTTACTGATAATTTTAAACATAGATTTTTGAAGCACTAGTTGTAGGATTATGGAGTTTTATTAACAAATCAGAAATAATTTTAATATTTATTAAGCCAGAGCACTAATCTATTACATTATAAAAAAGAATAAAAAATAATTTATAAATTTATTTTGTTTTACTGTCTGCTGTACTTTAAAAAAAGGTAAAGTTAAGATTAGGCAAAATATTTAGTAAATATTAAAGTTTCAATTTTAGAGCCACTTAAAAATTGAGAAATACTCAAAGAGTAATAGGTATGTTAAATAACTGTACTAAAAAGAATGTTCACAAGGCTCTAAGCCTTAAAAGGACTTTATTGTTATACATGATTTGTATTATTCTATTTCTTCTTATAAATTTTTATTAGTAGTCTTCACACATTGTTTTAATAAAATCTTTATCTCTTGTGTATTTTATTTTTTTAAACAATAACAAAAGAGGTTTCAGATTGTATGGTTTTGTTAGGATTGAAATGAAATGCTTTAAGTTCAAGCATTTTCCTTGTGAAAAATGAAGTGTTAAGCAAGCAACACTTTTAGACAGGGTTTAATAACAGCTTTAGGGTTAGCTCAAATCTTTATAATTTCTAGGAGAAGAACAGGATACCTACACGCATCAAACAAATTTAAATTACATTCTATACTAATTGATAGTTACATTCACTGCTATTATTTTAAGATTTGAGACAGGAAAAGAGTTCCAAGGGACTGATTTTGAAAACACACTATTACATTCAACCAGCAGGGGTCACAAAAGAATACACAATGACTTTGGAACAGTTAAGTTACTTTTCAGACAGCTCCATCCGGCGTGGCGAAACATTTACCATGCCCCTGAGCATAAAAGTAAAACTGTATTTTCAAAATTGGGAAAGTTTGAACCCACTTTGGAAAGTCATCTAAAAAAGAGTAGAGATTGGAATAAATGCTTCTGAAATGGTTTTTTGTCTTTAAAATGGCTTTAACAGGTCACAAAGGACCAGATGCTGTGTGACCCCTTTTTACGACAAGTCCTGAGCAGGCGTCACTGGGGGCAGAAAGTAGGCTGGCGCGTGCGGTGGCCTGCGGGTTTGGGGGCCATGGCCGAGGGGCTTGGGAGTTTCGTTTTGAGTAGTAATTTTCTAAAATTGGTTGTGGTGACAAACGCACAAATGTGCGAATGTATGGAAAGCCACCGACTTGTGCGCGGTGAGTGAGCCGCGCGGCGCAAGGCGCGTCTCCACAGCGCGGCCAGGGCGCCGTCAGCCGCGCAGCCGAGAGCGACGCGCGGGCTGCCGGCGCTCGCCTTGGCGTGCCAATGAGTTTTGGATTCTCAGTTCTAATATGTCTTAGTGATCTAAGTTTCTGCCAGTGATTTCATTTCAAATAAATGCAGATTAATTTATATTATTTCAGGCGAACCCGAACAGTTTCCTGGGCGCCCTGGGAGGCGGGTCGCCGGGACTCCAGGGCGCGGGCGGGCTCCCAGACGCCTTTGCGCGCGCGGCCCGCCCTGCGGCCTGCCTGTTGCTGAAGTGGGAGGCTGCGCTGTGGCTGCAAGTCTCTCAGAACCTTCTCAGTGCGTTTGCTCATTGGCGACTTACTGGAAACTAGGAGCCTGTCAGTTAATTTCCAGCAAACGCCGTAGAGCAGCGGTCCCCAAACGCTTTGGCACCAGGGACGGTGTCAGGAAGACGGCCTTCAGCAGGCCGGGCTGGGCGGGAGGCAGGGCCCCGGCGCCGGTGCGAGCCGAGCCACAGGGAGCGACTGCAGATGCCGGTGAGGCTCCCCTCGCCCGCGCGCTGCGGCTGGGCGGCCGGCTCCTCACACGCCACGGCCGGCCAGCCTGCTGCCCGCGGGTTGGGGACTGCAGCTGTACGGCACTCACACAGTGAGAAAGGACGGAGAAGGAATTTTATTGTCTGACATTTGCTAAGCTGCTTTTGGAAGCAGATGTTTGAACCTTTTTAAAAATTAGTTGGACTTGGAAGTCTGAATAAAACATTACTTATATTTAATGTTATAATAAGATTAGTTTTTTATTAAAAAGACCTAATTAAAATCGTAAGAATGTCCCAAATTGGAACTTTATATGTAATAAATGATATAGCAAGCAGTCAGATTCATGTATATTCAATAAATGTATAGTTTAACTGTGCCCCTCTACTTTTTAACTTAGCATTTTTTAATTTAGAAAAGTGGTGATATGTATTTTTCAGACATAGGAACATTTTCAGAGAAACATGTTTTGAATCATAGAAAAATTCCAAATTTATTTAAGTTTATATTCTTTTACCTTTCTCTCACCCTTGAATTTTCTCATTTCACTGGATCTTTATACAGTCAAAAATTGCAACATAGTAAGATATTTGTTTTCTTTTCCTCTTCCAGATAAATACTTTAAAGATATCACAACAAAACTTATCTGTCTCATTCTCCCAAATCTTGTACAGTCCCACAGTAATATCTAGCCCTCACAGCATGCTGGAAGATGAAATTTGTCTTGACATTTTTTGCCTTGCCAGTTTTAACTCAGTTCCCCAAAGCACTGATCCTTTCCTTTCATTGTCTTCTTCTACTATCAGCATCCAACAACGAAAACATAAGATTGAAAGCCCCCCCAGGTAGAAAAGTTGCAAAAGTCTTGAGAAAACAGCCTTCCTTTGTCATATGTTGACATATGTGTTGGTTTGCTTTTATTTAATTCATACAGTTTGACAGCAGTGGTCATGTCTGCCCATCGAGGCTCATTTCTTTAATGTTAAACATCTCAACTCCTTGAATGTGTGGAGCATCCTCTATTTAGAGGTAGAATCTTGGAACTGGCAAAGTAGTTTGAGGTTATCTGGTCAATTTTTCACCTAGTAAGACAAGTGCTTTTATCAAACTTATTCTTTATTGAGGATACAGTCTTATTTTTCTAGGAACAAATGGCTGCTACACTGCTTTTGAGTAGTGAATCGCTTTCATGTTGTCACAGCTTGACCTCTCTTATAACATGGGGGTGCCTCCCTAGCTGTCCAAGGTTGCCCATCCAGAGTTCATGCCATTTAACTCCCCTACTCAAATGGCTCACCATGTCAGAGTCAGGCTGTGTCACCTTAGACTAGAGGAAAAGGTCACCACCTCCTAGGCCCTTGTTCCCTGTCTAGGTACAAACTGTGCTCATGGAACACTGGCCTTCTGGAGACAGAGCACTCATCTCTGTGGGCTAATGGAGAGCAAGGTCTCTAGAGGTGAGACGTCCAGACTATGTTAGCTCTGAAGGTGTTACCTGAGAGGTATACAACAGAGGTGTTTTAGTACAAAGCACAATGCCACAGGGGGCTACTTTTTTCATTTAGTAATTAGGCAACACGGTAGCCTATTAAATATATCCTCTTACTTTAGGATTACGAGCATACATGCATTAGGCATATGCTACATGGGGGCCCAAGATACTTCTATCAGGAATAATTAGTTTAAGAAGTTTCTTTTTAGGCTGGGTGCAGTGGCTCACGCCTGTAATCCTAGTACTCTGGGAAGCCGAGTAGGGAGGATTCTCATGGTCAGGAGTTTGAAACCAGCCTGAGCAAGAGCGAGACCCCGTCTCTACTAAAAATAGAAAGAAATTGATTGGACAACTAAAAAATATATAGAAAACATTAGTGGGGGATGGTGGCCCATGCCTGTAGTCCCAGCTACTCGGGAGGCTGAGGCAGAATGATTGCTTGAGCCCAGGAGTTTGAGGTTGCTGTGAGCTAGGCTCACGCCACGGCACTCTAGCCTGGGCAAGAGAGTTAGACTCTGTCTCAAATAAAAAAAAAAGAAAAGGAAGTTTCTTTTTCATAATCGAAAAGCACTCATTGAGCAGTTAATAATGTTCTATGGGTTAAAAACCAATAATATTGCTTAGATTTGAGTTCTAGCCTCTGATTCATCATGTGGAGATGGTAAAATAAAAATTTCAAGTTGTGTCTGATTTGTTAGAGAGATAAATGTGTAAAAATCATCTTAGTGATATAAAGCTGTCGAAACAGTGATTTAAGATTTCACTATTTCTCCTTCCTATTCTGCCTTCCAGGTTCTTTTGAAGTGAGTGGAGCCCAAGTCATGGAACGAATGAATCAGTGATGGACACATGCATGTATATGTGTGCAGACAGACATACACATGCTACCTTCTATGACGCCCAGGTCATAGAAGGTCAATGCGAATGACAGGAACATGTTTGTCTTGGCCCCGAAGTAGGCAATGATAATCAACACACGAAACCTAATGTTGAGAAGGGATTTAGGAAAAACAAAGTAATTAAGGCATTAGGATAAGCATTTAGACATTTCAGTTTACCTGTTTCGGTCTATCAGTGTGAGGATTGGGATGTGGAGTTTCATTTTCCTACTGCTGTACATTTGCACGTCCTCATTGGCATGGACAGCAGCACCTGTGCTCAGAGAGAACGAAGACATGAACATGCTGACATTTTAAAATCAGCATTAGGAGCACCATTCAGAAAGAGATATAGTTTAGTTATGCATAAGCTCATGAAATAGAGCTACAGAAATAAGTTTTTATCACAGTATAATGTGCAATATGTTTATACTACAAATTGTAAAACAATTGTGATTTTTAATAATATCTAATCATTCATAATATTCCTCCCACAGTTGCATTCAATCAAAGTAGTATTATCTGCTTTCTATTTTATCAATTCTATACACCACAACTTGTTATAATTTAACTCAGTTTCAGAAATTATATTTTTCACATCAAGAGAGACCTGTATGTGTAATTTTTCTCTGAGGAAAGAAAACTGAATTTTTTAGAGCTGCCAGTTGTCCAATTTTGAACCAGGCTGTCTGATATTTCAGCTTTTACACTGTAAGCAAATTTGAGAAAATTACATATTCTTATGCCAAGTGTGTTCTAATTAAGTAACCTTCCTTGGGATAGTGCATCACCTGGGCATTCTCAGCCATTCACTAATCCCCTGTTGGTGTTCCTGGGTGACTGGCCAAGCCCGGTATAACCTGAGTTTAAATTCTCACTCACTGCTGGTCCCTACCAGGAAACAGGCAGTCCTGGGAGAGAGCAATGTGTTCTCTTCCTCAAGCTGTGATTCACTAGAGAAATTTTTCCTTTTTCTAATAGATGGCAAGACTGTTTTGTGGTAAAGAATGAGTGATAATTTTGTTAAAAAAAAAAAAAAAAGACAAGTTGCATAAATCTTTCATTTTTTGGCCAGAAGTTTAACAGGTTTTCTTTAATTAAAAAAAATTAATGTTCTTTTTAGTATTTTCTTATGAATGTCAAATATCTGCCGGTGCTGGTTAAATTAGAGGTGCACGTAGCTCTGCTCCTGGGCTTCTGTGCCAAAGATTCACACCTCACTGCACAGGGAAGCAGTGCGAGGCGTTTTGTGGTGTTATTCCCGGGGATGGGGAGTGGAGAAGAGGTGGCTGTCTGTCTCAGGGTGAGTGGACTGGTGACGTGGTGCTCCGTGGCACTGAGGAGCAGTAAGTGAGCTGCGTACGTGGCAATAAGGTAATTGGAAAAGCATGGGGCCGAGTTTAAAACATAAACAGAATATGCAGCACAATTCCTTTTAGGTAAATTAAAATGCCATCAATACCAACATTGTTTCTTTTAAACACATTAGAATGGCTGCCTATGGGGCAAGGTAAATGCGGGTGATACTGAGGTATAGAAGGGAGAAGCCCATAAATCTACACATCCATAGAACCAGAGACAAGCTCACATGGGCCAGTGATGACTGTATGGTATAAAGAGGACACCTAACTTCTGAACCTCAGGCTGGAAAAACTCAAACCATGCATGAAGGCAGAAGGCACAGAGTGAAACATGCACCTGTCTTATTTTGCACACTGGCCTAATTCCAGTTTCTAGAGGTAGCAACTGTTAGCAGTTTGAAACCATTTGTTGTGCAGTGTTCCAGACCTGTCTCTGTGCATGTACAAAGTCTGATTTTGGTTTTATGAAACTGAGATGCTATGCCTATGGCTCTGCACTTTGCTTTTTTCACTTACACACAATTTCGTATCCATCCATCAATCATCTCTATCATCCATCTATCTAGCATCTGTTTATTATTCATATTGATATCATCTATCAATCATCTATCAATATCTCCATCATCCACCAGTCTATCTTCTATCTATAATTGTCCTCCCATGCCTATACATGTGGATGAACTTCTTCGCTACTTCTTTCTCTTACACCTTCTTCCTTCATTTTTTCTTTTTTGGATTCTATTTATTGATAACAGGAAACCAATTTGAAATATGAGAAAATTTGGCCAACTCCATTTCTCACATTTCCTATTTTTGCCTTCCAATTTTGTTAGTAGTGCTATTGTTTTTACCATGCCGATGTTTGTAGCATTTACCTTCCCTTCCAAACGTGGCTGATGTGGTTCCTTAGCCTTACCTGGGTCCTTGGCCGACTCCTTGCACACTTGCGGCTGTGGCCCAGCACACTTCTTCAGCACTGTCTTCTGGCCTTGACTGTTGCTATGGAAACTGCTGAGTCAGCCTGCATTTTCTCCCTTGCCTGAGACTTGCTCCTTCTGCCTGAATCGTAGCAGGATTCTTTCATTTCCCTCAGAGATAAATAACTTCACCACGGAATGTCTAAATGTCGATCAGCCTTTATGGTCTTCTTTTGCTTTATTCATTTTCTTGTTACTTTTTGTTTGCATCTAATATTTACAAATTTCAGTTTGTATTAATGTCTAATATTTCATCACTTCTATTTCATAATTCTTTGTCATTTTATTTTCTGCAGTTTTGCTCAAGGCTGCCCATGTCACAGACTCAGATTTCAGCAGCACAAATTCTACACTCATTGCTTCTAACACGGCCTTAGTTTCTGTCATGACGGGGGCACCCTGGATCCGGAAGCCTGCTGTTGGAATCTGGAGAAATTCATGGGAAGTTTGATGGTGGCAAGGAGAGAAAAGTTCTGTGAGCCGTCATTGGGCACTGCTGGTAAGATGGCACAGGGATGGCAGACATCAGAGGCGCGAGAACACCGGGGAGGGAGAGAATGTTGGCTGGTGTCAGGCCCCATGTGGCCAGGCTGCCAGCACCTCTGCGTCGCTGGCAGGAGGCTTCCCTGCCCTGAGCGAGTGTGCAGCAGATGGGCGTTCAGGTGTTTGTGCAAGACCTGCAGTGCATTCCGTCATTATTCACAGCCTCTGTGATCTGTCACCAAGTAGACATTCCCTCTCGTCATCTTCTAGGGGAAGGCAGAGCCTGGACCTGCAGGATGAGAAGCTTCCAGAGAAGCTCCCCACTGTCTTAGCTAGCTGTTGCTAGCTAAGAATTACTGAGTAACCTCAGGTTCCTCCCAACTCTAAATGTGTTTTCATTTTCACTCTGACACTGACCAAAACTAAGTTTTTGGCTTTCTTTTGTGTAGGCATCCTTGGAGGCGCTCACCGTGAGGAAGCCAGGACAAGTGAGACGTGCAGGAGCAGGGCAGCCTCCTGAGGTCCTGTCCCCGACGGATCTCAGGGAGGGCAGATCTGTTTGTCCGCTCAAGAGCCAGACTTCCTCCTCCTTTGTTAGCAGAAGCCAAATGTTATGGTGATGGTAGTGTGCCTGCCACCACGGTGTAAGTTGTGACTGCTCTGTGCTGGCAGCTCTGTTTCTCTTTGCCAGCCATGGGTGGGCGTTGACCCAGTCCTGCTACTGAGATCTAACCAAAGGTTGGTTGGAAGAAAGATTTTTCTCTGAGATTTAAAGCTGCTTGAGGAGAAGCCATTTGACTCCTACTATCTGACTATTTTTTTTTATTCCAGCATAATATGGGAGTACAAATGACGAATGTTTAGGGTGCATATATTGCCTTTTCCCTACCCTAGTCAAAGCTTCAAGCCTGTCCATCCTCCAGATGGTACACTGCACCCATTAGGTGGGAATATACCCATCCCCTCCCTCCCTGACCTGCCCGACACTGATAAATGTTACTACTGTATGTGTACTTAAGTGTTGATCAGTTAATACCAATTTAATGGTGAGTACATGTGGTGCTTGTTTTTCCATTCTTGTGATTCTTCACTTAGTAGAATGGGTTCTGACTCTATCCAGGAATATACAAGAATGCTAGATCACCATTGTTTTTGGGGGCTGAGTAGAACTCCATGGAATACATATACCACATTTTATTAATCCACTCATGTATTAATGGGTACTTGGGTTGTTTCCATATGTTTGCAATTGTGAATTGTGCTGCTGTAAATATTCTAGTGCAGATGTATTTTTTATAGAATGTCTTTTTTTCCTTTGGGTAGATGCCTAGTAATGGGATTGCTGAATTAAATGGTAGTTCTACTTTTAGCGCTTTGAGGTGTCTCCATATTACTTTCCACAGAGGTTGAACTAGTTTGCAGTCCCACCAGCAGTGTATGAGTGTTCCTATCTCTCCACATCCATGCCAACATTTATTGTTTTGGGACTTTTTGATAAAAGCCATTCTCACTAGAGTTAAGTGATATCTCATTGTGGTTTTGACTTGCATTTCCCTGATGATTAGAGATGTTCAGCATTTTTTCATATGTTTGTCGGCCAATAGTCTGTCTTCTTTTGAAAAGGTTCTATATAGAACTCAGGAAAAGCAGCAAGAAAAAAATTAAACAATCCCATTAAAAAGTGGGCAAAGGACATGAACTGTCTGCCTATTTGAATGCTCCCATGATACCTTTGGCTCTGCTATCAACTGTGTGTCAGATTTTTCTCATGGTGTCAAGACGGCTGCCAGCCACAGCTGGGGCAACAAGGGTCTTTGCTCATGTTAGGTGAATAAGAGGTACTACTTTCTCTTTCCCTGAAGACCCTCCTCCCAAAACTTCCCCATGTATTCACTGGCCAACAGAAACACAGGAATGACATTACCACAATTGGATTAGATTATCTAGGTTGGAAAGGATGTTCAAAAGTGAAACATGTTGTCAATCCAACACGAAACTGCTTAAGACTTTAGAAGGGGCAGGCTTGCTGAAGGAAGGAATGAGAGAGATAGATTTTCCTTCTCTCCTAATAGGAGAAAGGCTCTAAAAGTCAACAGATGGAATTCTTTGATGACTTGTTTGGTTTTAGGAGAGTGTAAAATTTCAGAGTGAAGTTTTCCTGGAAGGAACTGACAAAATCAGTTAGAGTCCCAGAGGGCACAGATTTTGGAGATTTAAATATTTTCTTTATATATTTGATGTCTTTTGATTTTTAGTGGTCACCTGTACATTTTAAAACAGTCTTTAATGTATATTTTTCTAGCAAAGAAAAGGATAAAAATACAAATTAATTATAGGTTTTGTTAGAAAAATATATATTGAAGACTGTGAGTTAAAAATTCACTGGTAACCACTACGCTGAGCTGTCTCCCAGTATCACCTCCTTGGGGATACCCCATAACACCCCGTGATCCAGCAGCCAAAAGGATCACGCCTGTCGTGAAAGGGGCCCTTCCCAGTACTGAGCATGGTGTCTGTCCTATCGGCCCACACTTGAGTCATACCAAGTTGAATGTACTTGAATTATCACTGCTACACCTTGATGCCCTTTCTGTTGTTCTTGCTGATGCTAAGGAAGATGGCTGTTCTTTTACAGTTTTTTGTTAGTGTGTGGAAATGTAGCTCATTTTTGTATCTCAACCCAGAGTCAGGAGCCTTACTAATATTTGCTTATGTTCTTTGGCTTTTCTATATAATCAGTCATATCATCTGCATTCTTTTCTTTTCTTTTCTTTTCTTTTCTTTTCTTTTCTTTTCTTTTCTTTTCTTCTCTTCTCTTCTCTCTCTTCTCTTCTCTCTCTTCTCTTCTCTTTTTCTCTCTCGCTGCTTTCTCCCTCCCTTCCCGTTCCTGTTCCCTTCCCTTCCCTCCCTTCCTTCCCTTCCCTTTCCTTCCCGTTCCCGTTCCTTCCCTCCTTCCTTCCCTTCCCTGTGCGCTCCTCTCCGCTTCCCTCCCCTTTCCCGTGTCCGTTCCTTCCCTTCCTTCCCTTCCCTGGCTCCCCTTCCCTTCCCCTTCCCCATCCCTTCCCTTCTTCAAGGTTGTATGTAGTCTACCATGTAAGCTGAATAAGAATCCTCTTTCCCATTGCTCATAAATGACAGTTTGAATATAAAATTTTACATTCACAATTACTTCCCCCTGGTACTTGGAAGATAGCATTCCACACTTTTTTGACATCTTTGGACACTGGTAGGAGGGCTGTTGTCATTCTTAACATGGTTTCTTTGTATGCTGCCTATCTGTTCTCTCTGAGGGCTTTAACAATCCCCCTACCCTGATGCTCTTCAGCGCCCCTGTGACATGCTGTGTGTGGACTGAGAGAAAATATTCTATGCAGCATTGGGTAGGATTTTTCAGTCTTAAGGTTCATTTCTTCCCTCATGCTCATTTATTGTCTTTGAATAACACTTCTCTGCCATTCTGTGTTCTGTACCTCTGCATCTCCTACCAGGTGAATGACAATTTCTCACTGTTATATCTTAATTCATTAATTAAATATCTCAAAAACATTTAATTTTTATTTAGTATTTTAGTATTTTTCATCTGATTACATTTATAGGTAAATTTTGGAAAAATTTCCTGTATTCTAGCTTCTCATTTACTAATTCTTCAGCTAGGCATAGACCACTATTCACTGTATCTGATGAGTTTTTTTCTTTACCTCTGTTTATACTTCTATGATTATATTTTTCATTTCTGACATTCATACTTGATTCTTTTTATGTATATATACTTACTATTTTTTCCTAACCTCTTAATTTATTTTCTAAATGGTATTCCTTCATATTAATTTCTTTAAAAAGTGTATTAATTTAAAATATGGAGAACTACACAAACAAAATAATTGGCCATATTTGCAACATCTTAGCATTTTGCTTCTTTGTTATTGTTATTGTCTTTGTTATTGTTTTAAGGGGAAAAAGTCTTTTTTGGAATGATTTGTGTTTATTATAAATGATCTAAATGCTGAAGGAATTTTTATATATAAATATAAAAATATTAACATCCTCAAATTCTATCAACTAGAAATATTTTTCATTAACATTTGATGAACATTATTCTAGACATTCTTCCTTATGTATACATATATAGAAGGATAAATAAGTAAAATACTTTCAGGCAAATGGAAGCATTCTATAGATGCTATTATTAATTAAAATTAAATTAATTTTTAAAAAGTATTAAGTTCAATATTATTTGAATATACCAGCAAGAAAAGAAACTGAATTGAAACCAAACAAACTATTGAACTCCAAATAATCTTTTTCCATAAGAGCTATTACTTCCCATTCCTCTGAACTTAGATAATAATAAATATGGATCCATTGTGTTTTCTAAATTACATGAATTGAGTTTAGATAGCATCAGTCGATTTCTTGTTATGAAAAATGAAGACACGTATATTCTATTTCTTCACATCATCCCTCCTCTCACCTCCCAACATTTGTTAGTTACATTATTTTACGCTGTCCCAATTTACAATATGCACATTCCATTCTGCAACAAAAATATCTATGGTTGTTCAACATTATTTCCACTATTAAATGGAGTTAGTACTCACCTTATAGTCTCTAACTATAGCTAGTCCATTTCTTGTATCTTTATTTTATCTTTTTGGCAGGGGGGTCTGGAATTCATGAGACTCAGTTTTGCTATTGTCAAGACATAATCATCAGAATCACATCCTCTAAAGTACGTCATGTTTTAGGCTGTTTAGATTCCCTTAAAGGTTCATGATATTATAGTTTGGATCACAGTTTCTCTCAGAGATTATAGGAGCATTTATTGTCTTTTGGCATTAAATGTTGCTATGGAAAATGCTAAAGCCAAACTAAGCTTTTTTCCTTAAAGTTTATTTGCTTTTTTGCCTGGAGTACTGAAGATATCTTTCTTTATCCTTCAGTTAAAATAGCTTAACTAGGATATGTTTCACTTCTGTGTGCTCTTTATTAAATTTTCATAACAAGAAAATTAAAATAAATAAACATTTGTCTATATAATCTGCTCCCCCTGTTTGGTTCTGTACTTCCAACTGATTCAATTGCCAATTGTCTTTATATTTTCTGTCTTCAAATCTATTAGCTTTGCTCTAATTCCCTTAATCATGTCATATATATATATATATATTCATTCACTGGGATTATTTTTGACCTTTCCTCTATGTAAATAATTTGGCTTTCAATGATGTCTAATTTATATACTGCTGTTTCTAATACATATTTTCATTATGTAATGCTAAACGTATTTCATTATATTTGAAATACTAAACACTTATTCAACAAATATGTATTTATTTACTAAATACAAGCCACAATGCAGCTCTTTCAATGTTATCATCTCTTTTTTGCACTATTTTATTGAGTTGATCACCTGATTACTTTGTGTTGGAATGCAATTGTGAAGACTTTCTTTTGTTTACTTTGTGTGTGTGAGTGCCTGTGGGTATGTATATGACATTTTAGAATGGAGTTTTAATCTTTTGATTGGTAGAGTCTTTAAAATAAATTTATTTTTTCTATTATATATTTGCATAGTTGCTGCTATGGCTTGAATGGTCCCACCAAAACTCATGTTGAAATTGAATTGCCATTGTAACAGTTTGAAGAAGTGGGACTTTTCACAGGTGATTATGTCATATGAATGGATCAATGCAGTTATCTGGGGAGTGAATTAGTTATTATGAGAGTAGGCTCCTGATAAAAAGATAAGTCTGGCTCCCATTCCCTCTCTGTTTCATGTACTGGCTTTTGCCTTTGGTCTTCTGCCATGGGATGACCCTTGCCAGACACTGGTGCCATGCTTTTGGACTTCCCAGCCTCCAAAACCATGAGTGACATAAACT